AAGCCTTTCGTATACTGTCGAAGCCTTGTTTACACGAAGAGGAAGCAAGAAGAAATTAGAATCGATCTGAGACTATGCAGGTTTGAGCAGGAGGTAAAGATTTCACTCAGGGAGAAGGAATGGAAGAAGCATCGAGCAGAGAAAGAGAATAGGAGCCAGCATGCATGAGATTTATTAGTATCGAGCAAAGCCTGTGTGTGAGGAAGGGAGACCAAATCGTGGCTTAATAATGGTAAGCATTTTAAAAATAGTAATTTATGAATTTAATATATATGTTTAATTATTAAGTATTAATATTAAATTTTATTTAAATCAAGAATGACCAAAAATTTTCCTATTTATGTTGGATTACATCAGGGATCGGCTTTCAGCACACATTTTTTTGCTTTAGTTACGGATAGTCTTACTGGACATTTACAGAAGGACATACCTTAGTATATGATTTTTGTTGTTGATATCCTTCTCCTGGATAAGACGAGAGAAAAAGCCCAAGAAAAACTTGAATTATGGAGGTCCACATTGGAGTCTCAAGGCCTTCATTTGTGTAGAACTAAGACTAAATACATGGAATGTAATTTTAGTAGTAGAGCTCTAGTGACAGAAGTGTAACTTTGGGTGATCAAATTATTAAAATGTGTGAACGATTAAAATAATTATTAAAATGTGTGAACGATTTAGATATCTTGGGTCTATTGTTCAAAGCGATAGTGATATAGAAGGGGATGATTTCAAGTTGGTTGGTTGAAGTGGAGCAATGTCTCGGGCCTTTTGTGTGATAGAAAAGTACCGCTTAGACTGAAAGGAAAATTTTATAAGACAGTGGTGAGACCTGCAATGCTCTATGGTCTTTAAAAGAGAAGCATAATACTAAGTTGAGTGTTGTCGAGATGAGAATGATTAGGTGGATGAGTGGCTTTACACATAGAGACAAAATGAGAAATGAATACATCTGTGATAGGGTTGGTGTAGCTCCTGTGACGGACAAAATTAGAGAAAGTCGTCTTAGATGGTTTGGTCATATTAAGCGTCGACCATCTGATGATCTGATTAGGAGAGTAGATGTTTTAGATTCGACTTATGTTAAGAAAGGAAGAGGTAGACCTAGGAAGACTTGGGCTTATTGTATAAAAAATGATCTTAACTTATTAGAACTAAATGAAAATATGACATTAAATAGGACGCAATGGAGAAAAAGGATTCATGTAGCCAACCCCATGTAGTGGGATTAAGGCTTTGTTGTTTTTGTCGTTGCAAGATTCAAGTTATAGAACTTTCATATTTGAATCGAGAAAAATTGACAACAATAAAGAAATGTTAGGGTTTTATTTTCAAAAGTATTTTGTTTAAATTAATAATATTCAGTATTAGTATTAATTGCAATAATTAATCCTAAAAATTAAGCATTGAAATCTTAATTAAAATAATTAATATTAGTATTAATTACAATAATTAATCCTAAATTTTAAGCATTGAAATCTTAATTAAATAATGAAATAACAAAATTTAGTAATGTGATAAAAATTTAATAGCACAAATATTTTATATATTATAGGTATTAACTTGGAGGAGGTGATAAAGCTAAAAATAAAGAAATTATCTAAAATCGATATGAGTGCTGCTACTCCTAAGTTATAATAGCATTTTTGTATCCCTTCTAAACCAATCCTATGAATTGATATTGATGTTTGATTAATACATTATGATTCCTCTATTCTTAAATTTTATAGATCATTTTGATATGAATGTTTATAGTCTCTCATTACAAAAAGTTTTATACATTATAGAATTAAATATTACATATTGAATGGCATGACAATGTGAAACTTATGAACTATATAGAATGATTATTTGTGAATGCATGACTATGATGGTCACCCATTTATGGTACTACTGAAGGAAACGTTAAAGCACCCGTGAACGTAAATAAAAAAATATTGATATTGAAGTACCTAAATGATACATTTTTAACGGTGTTTCTGTGATGATTATATAGAGATTAAAAAGATATTGATATATAAATAATACAGTAATACATGGTAAATGTTTAAAATTACCTTGAGTGATCATATTAGATAGTACAAACATTTAAACTATTCAAATGCTCTTATATTGATTTATATAAAGTTCAACTGACATGCATTTTGTCCTCTTTTTCATTGTGTTACTATAATTTAAAAGTTTGAGTATTCACTGGCTATGGTTAGTTCACATTTGTTTTAAACTAGCATTTCATGTTTAATTAATAAATTAAAAGATAAACAATAAAAGAGAAGATAATTATAGAAGACGCAGACAGTCAGAAATGAGAACGATATAACTATATTAATTTATTTTATATAGTGGCTCTTTCATTAGTAAAATGTTACAACACCAACAACAAGTTTTTATGCCACTAAGTGAAATCGGTTGCATTATTAAAATATTAGTTATATAAAATGAAAAAAAATTTTAATTTTCATATTCCGACCATATGTAACCTCCTTGATTAATTTCAAGCCCCATACTTGGTCGTGAAAAAAATGGTATCAGAGGAAGGGTCATGATTAATTAATATAATCTTATTGAAAGAACCAATAGAATAATTACAAAGTAAATAATAATAATGATAATAATATCAAAATTTAAAGTTAACTCTAAGTAATTATGTCAATTTAGGCAAATAGATACACCCGATATTATAGAAGAAGGGAGTTCACTAGAAAATGAATTATCGTCGATTATAAATGAGAACACGAATGCCCTGACCCTGATGATAGCAGTGATGACAATTGATTCAAGAGTCCAGACCACAGTTGCATGGGGGTGAGAAAGTTGTTATGGATAAATATTTAAAGATATTTCAAGATCTGTGTCCACATTTGGTCAAAGGAACTAAAGATCTGATTGAAGCGGAGAACCAACTGAGGATATAAAAGATATTAGACAACATGCCATGCTTGGATGAAAGAAGAGCACTGTTAGCTGCATTTATATTAGATGGAGAAGCAGAAAAGTGGTGGAGTGGGCAGCATCAGAACTGGCTAAGGGACATTTCCAACATGATAATAAGTTGGGAGGATTTTCGGAGCTTTTCATACATATCCGCTCAAAGACAGATGCAAAACAAGTTTATCAAGTTAGTGCAAGAAGAAAAGAAAGTTGTGCAGCATGAAGCAGAATTCACCACACTATCGAGGTATGCACCGTAGCTAATAGCTATTATAAAAGAGAAAGACTGCAGATTTCTTTTGGGATTGAAAGATTTGATTAGGCAACCATTGGTGTCATTGGGAATTGATGACCACACAATGTTAGTAGAATAGGCTAGACGAGTAGAGATTGATTTTCAGATTATTCAAAAGCATAAGAAGATGCACAAGAGAAGGAGTATTGACAAAGGAGAGCATGTGGATAATCAGAGGGATTCAATGTGAAGAAGCTTAAGCTCAACTCTGATAGATTCAGTGGTGGCACTTCTTGTAGTATCATGGTCACTTATATCAAATGAGAAAAACAACATAAATGTGAATGTTTGATGAGCTCTCATATATGTTATTGGTGTCATCAGCCTAGTAACATAGCTAGATATTGCTCTTCACTTGCCAGAAAACATCAAAAAATTAGAAATCAAATAGAGCTCATTCAAGGAAGATCGCAGATTAGCATAGAAAGATAGAGTCTATAGCTTTTACTACTGCTCAAAAAAGCTATTAAGCCTGAAAAATTTATTGCTGGTATTGATGAGTGTTATATTTTATCACATGTTTTAAGAGTGTCATTCTAGTGTATTTCATTTTCAGATAATGTTTGTTGTTATGTTATCTTGCTTTAGATGTAATATTATCCTATTTCAATTGACAGAGAATGTTAGTTTAGTTATCTTGTATAAAACCTTCATTTTAATGTGCTCACTTTTCATCAAAATGAATGAGAGCTAGAGTTATAATAAGAAGTGATTTGAGGCTTGGAGTTGATTTGCAAATTTCGATGATGAAATTTGTGTAAGGATGTGAGATTGTAATAACCAGTTTAAAAATAAAATAAAATAAAAGATAAAAAAAATAAAAGAATCGATTTTTTATTTCATCTGTGACGATTCGAACAATTTGTATGGTTCTTCATAGGTATCAAACATTTCATTTGAATCGGAGGAAAGGAATCGAAGAGCAATCTAGAGACAAAAATAGAGAAGGAAGAATGAGAGTAAGAGAGATCGAGAGCGGGCAAAAAAGAAAGAAGAAGAAGGACAAGTCGCATGGTTCTCTTACAGAAGATTCGATGTCATTTGAAATGCAAAGAGCTACGGCATGAAGGAGAAAGATGGCCAACATGCGTCCAAGGCAAGGGTTCATGCTCTCGAAGGAGTAAAGACATTAACGCCAAATGTGGGTGTACTAGAAGGGGGAAGAAGAAGTCAGTCTGAACCCTAGCCTTGAAGTGAGAAGAAGGAGAGCATTTCGTATAACGTCAAAGCTTTGTTTGCGTGAAGAGAAAGGAAGAAAGAGGGGTCAATCCGAGTATTTGCAAGTTTAAACATAAGAAGTGGAAGAAGGGAGTTTGTATGGGGAGTTCGTAACCTAAACCCTAAACCCTAAATCCTAAACCCAAACCCACAACCCGTAACCCGTAACCCAAACCCTAAACCCTAAACCCCATAAACCTAAATCCCATAACCCAAAAACCTAAACGCTAACCCTAAACCCTAAAACATAAACCCTAAGCATAAATCCTAACCCTAGTAAAACCCTAAACCCTAAACCATCAAATCGTCTGTACCTACCTTTCTTAATTTCAAACCATGGGTTAGGTCGTGACACTTTTAAAAGAGTAAATCTTAAGAAAAACAATTTTGATATGTTACAAACTTCCAACAATAACTATCAAATACCCAAAATAAACAAAAAATAAATAAAACAAATTCAATATTATCTTGAGTACTACCTGTGTGTAAAGAGTAATCCCCACAAAATTTTCCAATTCAGTAATAATATGAGACTGACTTCAAACTGAAGAAGGCGTACCTCCAGTACAAGCTGAATTAACAGATCCTGCAGAAATAACAGCATCATGTGGAAGGACATTTTTCCTTTGAAATACTTCCACGAGACGGGGTACCCATTCATCCTTTGGCTCCCTATGACCCAGCCTAAATATCAAAGAAGAGATAAATTATATTATGCAAAAAGACGTTAAGAATTGAACTGATTTTTTACAAGTAAAGAAAGCCTGTCGCATGCTCCACCAACCGATTTTCACATGCCAGAAAAGCAACCATACATGGAATTGCCAAAATTTCATGGGAAACAGGAAAAAGCAAAGCTAAACTAGAGAACTTACGCACCTTCCATAGCCACCAAAACCCCACCTGGAGATTTGCCAAAAAAACAAAGCAAACAAATAAGTGTATTGAACATATACATCAAATATACTTGGCAGAAAGAAACTGCCAGATCATATTAAAGAATACAATATGAAAAATATCATGAAAGAAACGGTGATATTAGAGACAATGAATCCAATTCATCCATAACCCTCGTTTCACAAAATAATAGAATCTTAGGCATAGATAAGCAGGATGCACATGCCACAAAAGGAAGCCTCTCTACACAGGTTTCATCCATCAAAGGGTAAATATAAGCCCAATGAGCCATGCTAATATTACAACATTGTTTGAAAAACTTACGTGTAAACAAAGCCATCTGAATCCACAGCAACTGAAAAGTTAGATTCAAAAATGTAAGGGGAAAAATACAAGCATAAGAATTGACTATATCCAGGAAATGAAAATGAGAAAAACCTGTATGGTTTGTTCCACAGGCAACTTTTGTGATTGTTTTTCCTGATAGTGAAGCTATAGCTCGTGGACGAGACTGGGGCTCATAAGCTAATTTAACTGAACTTTCTTTTGTATTATACTAATTATAAAAGAAAATGCAGGCATAAGAAATCATAGTGAACAAAGGTTCAACTATATAGACTACAAAAATATCCAACTTTACCTCATTATCAGTGCCATGTCCAAGTTGCCCATATTGTGGTAGACCAGCAGTTCTTTAGAAGAAAATTAGAAGATAATCAATGGTTGTTTCTCACCCTTCTCAATTACATCCTAAAACAGTAAAGCAGTAACGTTCGGAAATAAATAAATAAATCATGAACATAACCAGATAATAGTGAATAAGAAAGCATGAATCTCTAATGCACCCCAACCATCCCTAATGTGCCTAATAATTTGAATACCACACCCTACACTAGGGGAGATTCCAACCCCAGACCAGAGGGGGACTTACAACTGACAAGCAGATACCCAACCAATTATATATATATATATATATATACATATATGGAAACAATGAATCAAATTGTACAACTATTGTTTTGATTTCTTCCAAGAACAGAGTTTAGCAATCATACAGAATAGAGGATCCTTCCACAGAAGACAGCCATACGGTAAAATCAGCTCCGCAAGCAGCAGTTGTAACTTCAGAAACCGAAGACGCTACTGGAAATGCCTCAATTTCTACATAAATTTTAAGTCAGAACATATTAACAGAGAAATGGCAATATAACCATAATCAATATAAAAGGAAGAGCAAAAAGAATGCATCCTTTTTATAGAATGTACAAGCTCTCGGCAGTGCAAGCATTTGTATTTGTGAAAGTGGGATGGGAATGGTTGGCTTTCAAATGAACATCAGCATGGTCGGCGACAGTTATGTCTTGATTGAAATGATTAAGTTAACGCAAGGATTAGTAACATATCAAAATATACAGGTGCAAAGAGTGATATAGGTGTTGATACAGAAATTAAGGGATGCCATTTCCATAAGCCCTACAGAAAGTACTACATACACATTCCAAAACCAAAAAAAAAAAAAAGAAAACAAACGTTGCATGTAGAAGGTAGTGGTTATGTGCCACATGGCACATTGTCTTAGCAATGAAACTCATGGCAGATCCACCTATGTAAATTTATACTTACTATGTTGGAATTTCTGACGATAGAAAAGCATGTTTGGGTTTGGGTCATTATTGTGTTATAAACATTGTACTACATGTACCATCAATAATAGATGTTAGTCCACAAGGTATATTGCACTCAATCTATATCATAACCACACTACCCTTCCTATATTTACATCTATGTTTCCTTCCTTCCTTATCCCTTTCATAATCAACTTGTTCCCATGAGACTCTTTAGATAGAGATTTTTTTATGACTGGATGATGATATTTATACCCTTTTGAGAGGATAAATGTCCTACAAATATACATTTAAATTCCCTAGAATCGAATTTATCTTGATGTTAATGTAGATATGAGCATATGAACATGGTAAAAAAAATTATGAAGAAAATTCTCAGGAAAATTTATTTGTGGAAAAATTCAGCAAGGCAATTGACGCGGAGCTAGAGTTTGATTTTAATTTATATATCTAGGTTTATGTGTTTTAGTTTGTTAGCTGTGTATTTATGTTATAGGGTGGCATAGTTAAAATTTGGAGAGTCTAGCATTTATAAATATGAAGTTAAGTGTGTTATGGAAGGCGGTATTTGGTGATAGTCTTCTGTTTTTCCCACAAGTGGATCGGTTCTCCCACTGATTCCCTTGCGGTTGTAACCTGAGATGGCTCTCAGGTCGTGTGATAGCCATTGTATCATGTTCTCGTTTCTGAAAACTTGAAGTGCATTCTTTCCTATTATCAGTTTACTGTTTTTCGGTTGATCCTCATTGTTATGTTTACTTTTCTCTGTTGCAGCTAATTTCTTCCTGTTTGTGGTTGTTTTCTTTTCCTGTTGTGGTATCAATTTCCGCATCACTTGGTATCCGAGCACAAAATTCTGTTGTCCAGATTTGTTGAATTATGTCAAAGCAGGCTTCTGTTCTTGGGTTTTGAACACGTATTTTTGTTGCCCATAATTGTTGAACTTTGTCAGAGCATATGTATGTCATTGGGATTTTTGTTTTTTGTATTTTCTTTTTCCTTGTCTTTGTTATGGGTCAGCCACAAAAGACAGTTGATTGTCTTCTTGATCCCATTTCTTGCCCAGAATTTACGGACAAATTGTTGTCACTGTGTTCATTTGTGGTTTTTTCTTCTCTCAATCATGCCACCATGCAAGAACGTGCCAAGAACCAATCAAGAAATTTCCATGGACAATCTTTTGCATGAAATGCAACGTATGCAAGAGACTTGCATACTTGTATCAGAAAAGTACGAAGAAACCCTCAACGGAACACGATGTCAAGCAGTGGAAGAAGAGGATGAAAATTCTTTTCACCAAGCTTCTTCCAGTGAACATGAGCAGCCCCTTCACGCATGGAGGAAGGATAGACAACGCAAAGCCGCTGATCATAAAATTGAGATCAATATTTCAGATTTTAAAGGACGTCTAGACCCGAACGAATTTATTAATTTACCGCATACCAACGAAAGAATTGTTGAGAATATGTGCCCTAACATCAAAATTGTGACGCTTGTTGAATATCAAGTTGAGGAAGAATGTTTCCCTTTGGTGGGAAAACCTCAAGAGAACAAGGCAAGGAGGGCAATCTAAGAATGCTACGTGGAGTAAGATGAAAAAATTGCAACGCAAATTCTTGCTGGCCACTATCAGCAAGAGGTTTTCATCCATCTTCACCATTTATATCAACAGGAGATGACGATAGAAGAGTGCTCTGCTAAATTTGAGCTTCTTGGATTGAAATGCAATCCGCCCGAATCTAAAGAACACACTATTGCACAAAAGCCTTCTATAGTCAATGTAATTCAGTTTCAACATTATTGGTCACTCTCGAACGTTATTAACCTTTCTTTGAGGGTGCAAAGTCCACAAAAATGGGTTCGGAACACCTCTTTGTGTGGTGCAACAGCTAAACAAGCTGACTTCAACAAATCTGACCATGCCAAGGTGCTGCCAGCCAACAAAAAAGGGAAAGGCATCAGCTGGTTTGCAGTCCTGCCTTTTGGAGAACTTATTACAAAAGTGGTAAACAATTCAACTAATAAGTGTTGCTTCAAATATCATGGATTTGACAAAATAGCTATCAATTGTCCAAATCATTGTATTATTTCATGGTGGAAGTGGGAGAGCCCCGAGACAGAAGATTATTTAGAACATTAAGATGCTACTTTGGTTTGGGAACAAATAATACATGCAGATGGAAGATTACCTGTAGCGCGGTGCCTTCTTAGTGTCGATCAATCCTCCAATAAGGATTGATTGCGGCACAATATTTTTAGAACCGGTGCACCGTCCAAAACAGTGTATAATCTTATCATTGACAGCCAACTTTACGAATATGTGGTGGTCTCTATCATGGTTGAAAAGCTTGGGCTAGTGACCCAAGTTTATCTGCATCCTTATCAAATTACTTGACATGAAAGAAAAAAATGAAATCAAAGTTACAAAACAATGTTTGGTGCAATTCTCCAATGGGAAGAAATTTCAAGAGAGAGAGTGTCATGTGACATCATTCCAATAGATGCTTGTCACGTCCTTCTGAGGCGTCCTTAGCAATATGACAGCAAAACTATTCATGATGGCCATGTAAATACGTACTTCTTGGATAATGTTACTCAAGTTAACTTCATTCCTATGCAAGAGAAGGTGTGGAATAAGACCAACAAAATGTGTCCTCACCTTCAACTTTCCTAAAAGAGCTGAAAGAATCTAATATTAGCTACATACTACTCCTTACAAAAGCTTATGAGCAAGCCACTGGAGTTCCAACTGAAACATTGGAGTTGATTCAACAGCATACGGAGGAGCTAGAGTTTCATTTCAATTTATACTTGGTTTGTGTTTTAGTTCGTTATGTCTTTATATTTTAATGAGGCATAATAGTAATTAGGAGACTAGCATTTATAAATAGGGGTTGTGTGTTAGGGAAAGCAATATTTGGAGATAGTCTTATGTTTTTCTAAAGGGTGGTTTGGTTCCCCTACCGATTCCATTGTGGTTGAATCCTAACTGAGATGGCTCTCATATGATGTGTTAGCCATTATATCTTGTTCTCGTTTATTAAATTTTGAACTACATTGTATGTTGTTTTTTGGTTGATACCCATTATTGTGTTTTATTTTCCCTGTTGCAGCTGATTTCTTCCTTTGTGTTTGCAGTTGTTTTCTTTTCTTGTTGCGCTATCAATTTCTGCATCAATAATTCAAATCACTCTTGAGGATATTCTATTAAAAAGAGATATAGAGGAAGATGACTAACATGTGGAGGAAGATGGCTAGCAACTTGATTTTGAAAAAGAAGACCCTTCGTAACATTTAGAAGGGGCCAAACTCTCCTTTATTATGTTATCTATTGTTGTGGCTTATAAGGAAATGAGAATATGTGACTAATATCTTCTTTATTTAGGAATTAAAATATAATTTGATTAAAATAATCTCAAACTTTATCAATCTTAGTATTTTCTAACATTGACAAAAAAATTAGTTTTTCTATCATAGATATAAAAATTAGAGGAAGAAAACTAAAATAATTTTTTATTTGATAAGATAAACCAATGTCATTTAAATGCAATCATCAATGAATATAACAAATCCTTTGGCTCCAAAAATATTAGAAATTTTTAAAGGTCCCCAAATATCGAAGTATATTGATAATGAAACAAATAGAAAATCTAGACTCAATTTTAGAAAACAAAATTTTTTTATGTTTAGCAATTTCATAAGTCTGACAATGAAAATTTTTAATGTCAGCATCAATAAAAAAGAGAAGAAAATACACATTCCTGAAAATTAAAGAAGGGTTGTCCTAGACTATAATGATGGTCCTAAATGATACATTTATATAGTATAGGTATGAAGGAACAGGATAAATGGTTATTATCTTAATGTAGATATAATTCATCCTTTTCTTTAGCATGCCTAATCGTTTTTCCCGTAGTGAGAACATGAAATCGACAAGGATTAGTAATAAATAACAACATATTTAAAGATAGCAGGTTCACTCAAATCTGAACTTGAATACAAACTTGGTCTCGAATTCATTAGTGATCCTAACAAGACATGCATTTATTTTCTAAAAATTATTTGGGAACTATAGCATCATCATTACACTTCATGTAGGCTTAGTTGTTCAAAGCATTATCTTAATCTCATAGATGAGAAGGAACAGCATTGTTACCAGTTGACAACTTCCCAAACATCATTTGTAGTTGTTAAGAATATAAATGGTCTACTAATTTGAACCATCATAGTGTTCCACAACCATGATATAATCACGAACTCTGCTCATACCAAAGTGCAAACTTCATATCTTTTAAATCACATGGAGTATCAATAAAAAAATGGATTTTCTCTTTTCTTTCAAAAAGGTTTTCATAATTTGAAAGCACTTTGGGTAGTTTGTTCTATTAAAACAGCACAAGGTTTGTAGCACCACTCATGACGATCAAATCTTTGGAATAGAAGTAATGAAATATAGGTAAAAATAAATGTCACAAAAAGAATTATAACTTTTCCCTAATACCATATAAAAAGAAGAAAGGGTTATAAAACTTATTTTATTCATTCCCTCAATGAGTATTGATAAACAAAATTACAAAAAAAAAATTTAAAAACTGATAATTACAAAAATTTAAACATTAAATTTGTTGTCCAAACCTCCTTTCTTGCTCAGTAGGAGTGAGCAATTCAAAGCACTCCCACGTCCATATTAAACAGAAGAATCCATGGCACTCCTGTTTTCATATTTAGCCAAATGAATCTATGGCATATATTTTCCTTTATGTAGCACACGAATTCATGGCTCATTTCATCCCCAGTTTAGCAATCCTAATACTTTCAACATTAAGCTTTAAATTTATTTATTTTTACAAGCTTAATTACATTTCTCTTATACTCTTGCATGTAATAATATGCATTGAATGTATCCATATTTCACAAATTTTCATTGCATGTCTTTCTTTAAACGAAAACAATAACCATAAGTGATCTACGATTATTTAAAAAAAAAGTAGATATTATATGCATAAGTGTATGGAAAAATATAAAAGTCATGACGTTTTAGTTAACAAAAACCCTACTTTACTATTTTTTTTCTATAACTATTGCACTTATCATGAGACGGTTGGTGTGCACATTGAAAAACAGTTTTAAAAAGATTCAGGTAATGATTTTGTTAATTTGATAGTTGATTATACTGGCGAACCCATGGAAGGTCATTATTATGCAACGTTCAAAATGCTTCTCTTAAGCTTCTTTGAACCCAAGCAGTGCATGGTTTTATATAATCCATTGGGCTAGAAAAGGAAACGCACATACCATATAGAAATAGAAACAAATACGTATTTACATTAAAACAAAGAAAAACGATACATGTTTTTTATGCCAATTTTTTTCCATCACTCTATAAACAGCTGCATCTCGATCTCTCTCAAATAAGTACCCTCTCTCTAACAAGACTTCCATAACGTTATAATATGCTAGCATTCATTTGTATCATGTCCTGAAATAAGAACATTTCCTTTATTATGTAAGCTGAAAGTGACTTTTTTCTAAAGTAATAATAAAGTTTCAAGGTTGTGCGTGAAACCTAGTGTCTGTAAGTGACCAGATGCATTGCACAATGTAAATAAAGAACTAATGTTGGACAAACTGAAAATGAATTATCTACCAGGTCGGGATTCCCAATTAGCTTAATTCCAGTCAAAAACTGGAAAATCAGTTCCTATTAAACCAAACACAACGAATCTACAGCCAAATTTTATAATCGGTAAGAACACAGTCAGGATGCATGGAATGTAAACACTCATGTATATTTAATAATTTCAACGGTGACTTATTTTATTTTCATAAGCCCTAGTGCGGAGAGGAGGTCATGCCAGTGAATTTAAGCATCAATACACATTTTACATATGCATGCATGCATAAACCAGTGAATGTGCATGCTCATGTGAATAAATAAAGCATTTAGCATATCCCATCTTCAGTAATGAAAAATACACTATATCTACGTGTCCTTGATTCAAAGTTAAAATATAAAATGAAAGAAGGCAATAATTAGATAACATCCCAGAACTCAAAAGGAATTTACCATTGATATTGAAACTACCAAAAGATGGAGAAGGGAAAAGAAAATAATTGAACTACACGCACAAAATTTGGAGAGGATAGGAAGAGCTCAGCATACACAATAGACGAGAAGAAAAAAAATTGCCGACATAATTTGGAGTGAACTACAAAAACAACTTAAATCATATGAGAACAGCACACATAATCTACCCCATCCATAAGATATTCATAATTATTTATTGATTTTAAATACAACCTATGTCTTTTTTTTTTTTTTTGACAAAATTTGAACCCTTAAGCAAGCACCCATTTTGAAGACGAGGTAATTTCAGCAAGCTGCACACCGAATGGTTATGAATCCTTACTGATAGAAAAATGTGATACAAATATAAGATCAAAAAATCTGAAATCAAACCTAATCATAGATAATTCGAACTCAAACCTGAAAAAAGTATCCAGATAATAGAATCTAATGAACAAACTTCTAAATACATAAAACAAAACTAAAATAAAACCTAAAATAAACCCTTTTTTTTATGTGTCGATACTATCAGAGAAAAAATAATCCCCCCCCTGAAGGTAATGTGATGAATGCTCTAAACGGAAGGTAAGATTTTAATAACCATGAAAGTGTATCAAGTTTGACAGATGAAAAAGAAACAGAAATAGCACAACATTTTTGCCACTGTTAAAGTCGTCAGTTTTTCACTTGTAGAAGTGGAGTGACTAGAAGATTCACATAGTTACAGGTCTCAATCATGAATCCTTCAGGAACATGGAATAAGACCTACTCCTAATAAGAGAAAAGAAAAGATACTGATGGTGTTCCTGCAGTCAAGAAATTCCGCTTGGCAATCCATGTTATTTAAAGCCAATGAGATTCCCTACAGTCCATGTTATTCTGTGTAATTCCTACAAACAAAAAAAAAAACCCTCACTGGGGTTCAAGTGAGGTGAAGGTGCAAATTATAGAATATCCTTCTTTTCATATATGCATGCATAGAACTTGGTTAATATCTGTATGAATTGTCCAAAAAAATTCCGCAAGTAATCGCTAAGCAGTTAGTTGTTTCCAAATTTAGAAATTACCTAGTATAGCATATAATTACATTGCATGAATAAGGATTTAATATCCTCAATTTCATACATCTAAATTTCAAATCATCTTTTCTCCGCATAGTATCAAAACTCTAGGAAAAAAAAAATTCCAAGGCATCTTCCTTTGACACTGTCCTTCAAGCAGCCACCACTTGTTGTTCAGCAAGAAGGTCACCACATATTTAGCAACATTTTGTTATGAGAGTTACGAACGAAGCATTAATGTCAATCACAAAAAGGAGTTCAAGCACACCCACACTGTGTGAGTGAAGTTAATGCTAATTGTTTACAAATTGCAAACAAAGAATGAATCAAATGTGCTAATAGGGGGAGCTTTATAAGTATGGCTAAATACAATGATTGGAAAGTCTTTTTTATGGAATTGATTTCATAGCGCAAAATATTGGGTTGGCTAATGAAGATTTGAGATGGGCTTGAGTTTTATAGCATAGGTTTTTACTTGTGTTTTGAGATGGAATTGCAAATAATTGACTTTTTTTATTTCAAATATGAAAAAAAAAATAATTAAATCTCATCATGATACCAGAAAAAAGGAGAAGGGAAACAAACATAGATCACCTCCAGTAAAAAAACAGGGAAAGGATGAGAAGAACTCCACATACAAACATGGAGTGGGTAGAAAGAAGATCTCCATGTACACGGACTAATCATCCCAAAAAATAATCCAACTTAATAAACTAAATAAAATTTGAATTCTAACAGCATGAAAAAAAGATTGAAATGAAGCTAAAATAATATAAACATTTTTTTCTTAGATGCATCAAAAAAGAGCCTCTTTACACCTTTGCAATAACTTGGATTTGTCAAATATCTCCCCGCTTGATAAAGCATTTCAAATGCAAAGGAATTATTTCAATCATCACCCCCATGTAAAATCAAATTAAACAAGAAGCCCCCTCTAAAATCAAGTCATCTGATAGTGATATATATGGCCAAGTACACGTGAGAAATTACAGTATAATTAACATAATGGAAAAATGCAAACAAACATGAACAAAAATAACATATTCATGCATTACTATCATATCCCTCATTGCATTTTGTCCATACTAAATAAAATTGTATCTAGGATTCTAACAGATACTGTAGCACAAACTGAACACTACTAAACTTAGAAAGACTTTGCTCTTGTACCATGACTTACACATGCCAACGATTCTCAAATGTAAATTTTGCAATACATTATACGTTCTACATTGTATTTTAAGCACATAAGAATTAATTTTCATTTTAACCAGAAAATTAAAGTAAAATGTAAGCACAAGACCACAAATAAAAATGGATTTAAATGTGTAATTTTCATATCAGGCTTCTACTTTGTCTGAAGTTCATAGACGCATTCAAATAGATATATCTAAGATAAGACGCCAACACACGCAGCAGCTGGATATCAGAAGATAATATCTCAACAAACAGATTTCTACAGAAATAATGTACTGCTGTGTTTTGAAATTATTAAAGACATACCATTTCTTGTGGATCCCGTCCCCAGCTGTCCATGTTTATTGAAGCCAAATGAGAATGATTTCCCATCATCAGTAATAACCACAGTATGATTCCTCCCCGTAGCAGCACTGACTATTTTATGCCTGATATTATCAGATTAGTTTCACAAACAATGCTTGTGGAAGAAAATAATAAATTTCTATAGCTTGAAATGATTCAATTTTAGTGCATAAGCTTCACATTGTATTCAGATTGTAAAAGAAAAAAGTATGATCAAAGAGTTGAAAATAAAGGAACAAAGTATACAAGTGGTGGTGAGGGCCCATTATATTCAATTAATTCAAAAAGGAAACAATCAATTATCAATAATTAATTAAGAAAAAATATCGAAAGAAAATGACAAATTGCTAAGTTAGCTTCCCTCTGATGAAAACCATTGGGAGGAAATGAATTTCTTTGGGGATAAAAAAAAGGCAAAAGGTGACTTCAGAAGATTCAGACTACTCACTTTGATAGTCCATGAACAAATGTAGGCAGATTTCGATTTAGCGTATCTCCATGCCCTAGTTGACTTTTCTGCAAGATTATCATGTATAAGCATTTCAAAAAGAATGATTTAGCAAGCAGCTATGAATATACCTCATTCCTTCCCCAAGTATAGCAGCGGCCTCCCACATCCAAAGCCACACAGTGACAAGAAGCTGTAATAACATGACAAATTATTGAATTAAAATAAAAAAAAAGAAAACAACGAGATGGGAAACAAATAATTTGAATGTAATTCTATATACAATAACAATAAAAACAATGGGTTTAAAAATAATAATAACACGGTAAAAAAAAACAACTAAAAAGTAAGACAGTTTAACAATAATTTCAGCAACTCTGGAATGATATAATAGAAGCTACCAAAAACTTGATGGTAAAGAACATAAATGAAAAAATGATTATAAAAAGAAACATATAAGATTATCAAAAAAACACATCATTTGCCACTAATTCATTCATTAACTAAATGAGCCTAATACAAACAATTAATTTGAGCACAATTTATAAATGAGTTGAACATGAACAGACCATTAATCGTTCATGTTTAGCTCACATTGGATCGAAACAAGTAAATAATTAATATTTATTACTGATTTTTTATAATTTCATTTATGTTTTACCAGAACATGGAGGGGCCAGAGGTGCAAGTGTAACATGCATTTTGGTCATTTCAAAATTTGGGGAAAGGGAGCCATTGAATTACACCCAATGGTTGGGGTGGGGCAAAACACTCAAATCATCAGTTGTAACATATTTATGCCTTAAATCAGATTTTTTGCACAAATTGGCTATCCCTAACACTTCTCTTTTGTTTAGCTTTCTGCAGCTTGAGGGTTCTGCCTGCAAATCTTGGCCTTACCTACCACTCAATCCCATAATTCTCACCCTCTCAGCCACTTGGAATGCTTTCTTCTCTTCTTGACTACATTTTTCCCTTCATCCTCGTCGTTATTTTTTTAGATTTTCTTCTTGAAGTGACCCTCTTTAGTAGCTGAAAGTATTTAATTATTACTCTGTTGAAAATATTTATCGTAGTCGTGAATCCCTAAATATTTATGCTCGTAGTGATTGGTGAAAGTATTTAGCACATTTAACTATTTAGGAAGCCCTTGATGGTCATTTGAGTTAGAGCAACTAAATCAAGTTATTGCCTAGCATCTATGTGTTATTTTTGTGAACATAAAGTTGTATAATCTTTTTTTTTTTTAATAGATGTTTAAGAAGCTTACCTTAAGATTCAATTCTTTCACGGCATTTTCATGGTTGATTGCCTTTTAAGAGATTGAACATATGTTGATATTGCCTGTTTTTATATATTCAAATACTACTATAGTAAACATGAATTGTGTTATTATTATATTCTTCCTTTTTGCATTTGCTTTGAGCTATTAATCCTCCAAAGTTAGTTTTGCTATTGATCTGCTGAAATTATAATGTTTGATGGCATATTGAGAGGATCTTTAGTTTCAACCAATGATTTACTTCTATTTTTATTTAGCGTGTTGCTATGTCAACCATAGATCATTCTAAAACTGCATCATCTGATAATGAATTATTTGTAGGAATTGAAAATGATAATGAAAATTTGAATCTTTCTTCACAACTCATGGAGTTACAGATTATTGAGACTAGCAATAAAAAGTCCCTACTAGAAAAGAAAGGAAGAGAAAATCTATAATTTGACAGTATTTTGTTGAAGCTATATCCATATCCAAAGAAGTTACAATAAATTTTCTATCGAATAAAATTTCATGAATCCAAAACTGCACTACTTCAAAACTACTCAGGCAAGTAAAAGAATGTGAAAATTTTAAAGCTAAGAGCAAAAAAATTGTTGATACATCAAATTTTGTCCTTTAATGTCGATGCAGATGTAATGCCTCGTATAAAGATAAATATTTTTTTATAACCAACAAAAGATTGGAATACAAGGAAAGAAACGAAAACTAAAATTGAAGGCAAAAGGAAGTAATCGACGGTTTTTCTATTTCACATCTCAAGCAAGATTCAGTGAGAGTGAGAAAGAGGTAGACAGCTTCAGGCAAGCTAAATCATCGATTGAGGGAGGAGATGAGTGGGCACAACTCTCAAGTGGAAAGCATCGGCATCAATCGAGGGAGAAAGAGACAGGGGCAATGTAATTGTGCGAGTGCGGCACTGCGGTGCACGAGGGGACAATGTAGAAAGAGCATTTTAGGCGGAAGAAGGCTTCGAAGACAGTGAATCTAGATGAAGCAGTTGTCTAATGATCGGAGACGGAGATGAAGGGCATAGTCCAGCAACCGGTGTCCCAGATCAAGCAAGTTAGGAAGGACAGCTTGTGTTTGAGTATTGAGTCGATGAGCTGAGTGAGTAGAAACAGGCAGAAACGAGTAGGTTATATTGGACAGGTATCTTGCGGTCTAGGGTTGTTGGGATGTAGGGAAGCAATTTAATTTTGAGCAAACAACAAGCAAGCTAAATTAATTTTGGTTATTATGTTGGTTCGATTGACGAAAAAAAGGGGAAATAGGGAGGCAAAGGCGGAGTGCTTGACAAAGCAGATTGAGGCTTTAAGCTTGCTCAGCATTGAGAAGAAGAATGTTAGAATTATTCTTTTTATTTTATTTTCATTTTGTTTATCTAGCATTTTGTATAAGTTTAAACCTATATGTTATTGAATTTTATATTTAAATAATTATAATAATAATTATTATTAAATAAATGAGTTAGATCTATATTCTAGAAAAAATGGGAGAGTTTACTATTCAATTATAATAATTATGATAATAATAATAAAATAAATAATTATAATGACTTATTAAAAGTTAAAAGTATAGATGGTGAATATTAATTATGAAATATAGTATGTTAAATATAATTTAGATTAAATACAGAGAATAAAATAAATGCAGAAATCATAAGATTAATATCTAACTACAATAAGGTTTTAAATTTAATTTAAAAAATTTATCAAATCCTTAATTAAATTAAAATTTAAATAAAAAGTAATGGAGATGTTAGGATTTATGTTTTTGTTAGTATTTATATTGAATTAAGAAAAATAAACATATACATAAACATGTAAAAAACAACTAAAAATAGAATTAATTATTATGCACATTTTCTTATAGGTGTCAAACTAGATGAGGCAGTCAGAATAAAAGATTTTACTTCGGAATATAAGATCTTTCTTTGACCAATCTAAATGAAGAGAGTGAATACTATTACTATTAAGCTATGGTAGCTTTTGTTTCTTCCAAACCAAATTCATTAATAGTTACTTGATTGCATAATTTTACTCTGATTTATACCTCTTTGTAGTTATTGGTCAAATTAATTTGATGAATATATATTTTCAAAAATACTACTATTTTGCATTATTTGTGTGTGTGTGTGTGTGCACGCGGGCGCGCGATATAGCAAAATGCATTTAATGCTTTGAACGATCATGAACTACCTCACTAAAAAAAAAGGTAAACTATCATGAGTTTTAAATTGATTTATTATATGGATTCATGACATGATTTTTTCGACAAGTTTTACGCTGACTGTCGACTACCTAATAATATTAAAGAAAGGCAGATAAAAAAATGTTCAGAGAAGTTGACCTTTATAATTCTTTAATTAAAAATATTACATATACAAAAATTTATCAACCCAATTTTAATTTTTAAATTTTTAATGGTTCTTTCTTTTGTTTGGGGATGATTAAATGTTAGTTATAGAATATGAATAATATAAATTTTGATTATCATCGTCTGACCATTTGTTCAACTCTTAGATAATTCCAACTTCCACGTCGCATCATAACAGCAAAGATTGAGATATACATATACACACACACACACACACATATATATATACATATATATATATAATTCATAACCCAAAGAATTATGATCAACTCCAAATTAGAGAAATAATCTCTAAGATAATTAGCATGCATGAGTATCAATTCATAATTTTTAAGCAAATATAAATAATATGTTATTGAAAGTCTTGAATCTAAACTATGAGAGGGTCTCTAAAAACATAATTAAAAATAACTGCATGAAATTGTATAAACTTGAGAAAGCTAAATTAAAAATAACTTAAGAATATACATGAAGTTTCATTGAAATCTAATTATTGAGCTTCCAATCAAACGATGGCACGCATATGCCTGAATGTTCATTATATTGATATATCATGAAATTTTCAAAAATGAATCGCAAATTTCATTAAGTTGGAGCCACCTCATAATGATTCATGCACATGTAATACTATATATGATTGCTTGTTACAGCCAAAATTGTATATTTTTGAAAGAAGTTTTTACAGAAAACTATACTATGGGTTGAAGCCAAAGTTGATGGGAGTGTTTTGACGTACCTAGAGCTGTTGAGATTATTTTGATAAAATTGAAATTGTTGGAATTATTTTGAGATGCAAAAATTTCTTTGTGAACTATTTCAATTTAGTTAAATTTTATAAGAGACGATGATGATTATGGTTGTTTGAATTGTAAATCCTTCATGACTGGTTTGACATACGATCGTGAAACTAAATGGAGGATAAAAAGAGCAAAACATAGTTATATAACAAGCTTATGATGATAATGATTGATGGTTATATGTTGCATGTTACCTTTTATTCAAATAAAATTGCTCAAAATAATAACTAATCTTCAACGACTTGAAGGCATACATACATGAAACTTTTATGAAGGAACACAAAAGTAAAGACCAAAATTTATATGATAACTGCCTAATATACAAACACTACTTTATCTATACCTAAAATGGCACGTTGAGTGTGCAACTCTATAGAGTACAAAATGATAAGAGTTCAAATTTTACAGTATGAGCCTCACATTTTTATCTCATATGAAAACTTCATATATAAAGTGAAAAAGATGAAGATTGAATAACATTAGATGGACTTTTTCATTTTTTTTAAATATAATGTACTTCTCTGTTTGTTATGTAATTATTATTTATCTGTAGAGTATCTAAATTGTTAGTAGCATAATTTCGTGTTAATTATGTGTAAATTGAAATCATCAATTCAAGCAACATTATTTTTGTTTCTCAAAGATCAATGTTGATTATTTGTTCTTTATTTAAAAATTGTTGAATCTCATTATTTTTTTAATGATATGAACAAAGTTTGAGTCAAACACAAACTGCAAACAAACAACAAATCTGAATCAAGCCGAACAAGAGAATACTATTCACAAGAAATTTTGCACACAAGCCAAATCAGGATAAACAAAACTTCAAATGAGTCGAACACAACAAGACTCTAAGCTCACACAAGATCTACAGGCCTAGACCCCTAAAAATAGGTTTAGAGATTGAAGTACTAATCTGCAGCTTACAAACAAAAATGAAACAAGTAGGACACAAAAAAGATGGCCTTATAACAAAGCGCCACATGGAATTACATCATATTCGACTGATATAACAAGAAATCAATGGCAAGTGGAACAGATATCTATCATCAACCCCGTAAATGCATTTGTTGCTTCATTGTGGCACCTGACTTCCACATTACAAACAATAAATTAAGAATTGAAGTTAAAAGATAAATCACATTGCCTTATCCAAGGCATTCAAACCATAAATCAAATAGCCTTATCCAATGCATTCAAACCATAAATCGCATTGCTTTCCGCCGTACTACCATCTTCATTCCACAAAGAAACACAAGACGAAAGTATCAGCAAGGTCAAAGATGGCCATCCATAAAACTAGAAGAAACACACTGAAGCCCCAGCTACATTAAGCATGCTTGATCAAAGAGAACAAGTAAGGAAAAGTAAGCTCACAGCAGCCGGAAGCAACAAAGCGAATATCCACACCGACAAAGGTACGAAGCCGTGTCGGCGAAACAAGGTTACTTTCAGCCGCTGCCGTCCTCCTTCCCATGTTCTCCCAGATCGTGCCGCCGCAATAGAGCAGCTCACCGCCACGGAGGGCCGCCTCATCGCCCTCGGACTTCTCCACGGCACCGGACGGCGACATTCGAAGAAGGATCGGCAGAGCTTAAACGAGCTTGAGCCGCTGCTCGTTGCCCTAGATCAAGTGCATAAAGAACTAACCTGAGAGCTTTGCCGATCTTCGGCGGTAGGGTTTTCGATTCGAGCGTGCGCGTGATGGTCTGGGAAAGCTACAATTGGAGAAATGAGAACTTTAATCATCGGACGGCGAGCGGACTGTGGCTCATTGCAGCAGTCTAACATTTTGATTTTGGTTTGGAAAAATGAAAATTTATATTTCATAATTCTGATTTAATTCTGATTTGAAAAAAAAAAATGAAAAGAAAAGGAGGGAGGCCGGCATCTGACAAATTAGTTTTGAAAAATCAATTATTTGCATTAGCAATATATATAAAAAGCGGTTAAGCGAAAATGTTCCAGAAATTTACCTTATTAATTCATTAATAAAAGATATTATATAAGAAAATAAATTTGTCAGCCCATTTTTATTTACCAAAATAAATGTGTGACTAAAATGTCAAATTAAATGATTATTTTTTTATGATGACTATAAATATGTATGTTAATTCATTAGGTGTATCTTTTAATTCTCCATGCATCCTAGGATTTTTTCCTTGTATATTTTGTAATTATGGTTGCTATTTTGGGTTTATAAGTTGAGTTTGGGCGTGATCATTTTGGTTGAAAACCATCAGCTCCTATCATATTAGCCTCATTGCAAAATGGTTAACTCTTGACTTAAATACCAATTTAAAATCCAAATGTAGTACAATACAATTAAATAACATAAATAATACAATAAAGTTTTTTTTTTATTTTATTATTGAATTCATTCACTTTCTATTGTTTTTATATTATTTGTTGTGTGGTAAATCATTAACTTCATAATTATTACAATCTCAAAGAATCTCAAAAAATTTGTGTGAGCACTTATTAAGGCCACATTAAAGAATTAATTGTCATTACCTTTTGTACCTCTCTGCTCCTTCAGCTATTGTATACTCACTAGTGACCAATGCTCCAACATTAATTCAATTTATATGATAAATAGAATCTTCATGATTCCTCAGATGCATATTAAGGAAGGCCAATTATTTAAGGTATTTTGTTTTAGTAAGCCATGTCAAATTGTAATGTGAGTGTATGTTGATGCACATATACCTCTGATGAGCAACCTCATTTTCCAACTAGAGGTTTTGATATGGATACTTTCTTCAAAACATGCTAGTTGAGCTATTTGGTCATGTACTCTATAAAGAATCTGTACTGCTCATTTTGAATCTCGCTCTCCACCTAATTTGAGTTGCATTAGATCATTTTGGCTAAAGATTATATTAGCAGGGTCTCATTTTCCTCTTAAATCCTTTTATATCCTCGTAAGTTCACCCTTTCTTGATACTACTTCTAAAGATACAAAGCTTAAGCATATGGTTTCCCTTACAAAAAGACTCGTTTTAGGGTGATAGCCCTATTACCATTTCAACTACCGCTAACAATTGAGTATTATATATGTTACTTTCAATGATGCCACCATAAATGCTTTTTATTAGCATATGAGGCTCCTTAACCCCCTTTCATTAGTTTAGAGGGACAATGCCCTGGTATGCCACCATGATATGTGTAAGAACTCCCCCTGTATTGAATTTATTTCAAGTACATATATTAGTAAGTCAATATTTTTCATCATCGTCACTATTTTCACCACTATCCTAGCATGTGCAAGAAGGTCTCTACCTAATGTCATTTCCGCTATTGAAAACAATAATGCATGTTATATAATAAAAAAAAAGTATCATCAAGATACAATGTCAAAAAGCTAACAAATTATTTTAGAGATTTCATATGTCATAACCAGCATATGACCTTATGTCATTAGTTTAGATTCTCTAATTGACATATTTGATATTTTCCTAAATTTTATCTTCACATCCAACTTTAATATATTTACATCAAACTTTATTTAATTTTTTTTAGTCATTAGTCAAATAATTGTGATGGTCTTCTCTTAAAAGAAATAAATAGAAAAACATACTCAAATGATAGTTAAATGTTATGAAATTAATGGCACTAAATTTTTATTGCTATTGTTATTTTGAACCTCGTGGGCCGCGGGTTTGACCCTCCAAGCCAAGTTTCATCTTTATTTTCATTCGGCTTTTTACTGCCCTACGCCGAGAGGTGCCTTGCTCTCCCTTCTCTCACGAGCTCTTCACTCTCATGTCCCGCTCCCCCCTCTCTCATGATTCTGCTCTAAAGGTAACAACCCGGCTCTCCTCCTCCTCTCCGATTTGTGGTGTCATTGGCAAGGGTTTGCATGTCTTCTCCTCTCCCTATCTCCTCCGTTCTTTGACTTCGTTTGGTTCCTTTGTTCTCCCTTGACCCACGGTATTCTCTATCATTTTCTATTGTGGCATTTTGATCTGGGAACATTTTAGCTTCTGTGAGTTATATTCGGTCGATAATTTTCGGATGGTTGTGCGATGGTGTTGGATTTTACAATGTTGATGATTTTAGTTTCTTGTAATTTTCTTTATTTGTGTTGTGATGATGGCTTGTTCTCTTAATTTGGTGAGAGCATTACTTGTGTTGTGATTCTGGTGGTTACTATGATGATGAAGAAGGTTTTCGGCTAGTTGTGCACGAGAGTTGGATTGTGTAGGTTTTGTGATTTTGGGTTTTGTGACTTTGGTGAGATCACTATTACTGTTGTGATGTGTCGGTTGCCCACATGGGAAGATGATATTCAATTTTGTTTAATATATGTATATATAATTTTGGAAAGAAGTATTTTAATTTTTAAAAATACAAGATTGAAACTATCTCATACAGATAATAGTTTAAATAAATGAGCACAACACTTCATTCCATGCATCTATCCCAAAGAATAAACACATCACTTAATAGTGAGACTCGATTAAATAAACTAAAGAGTTTATGACATTTATTTTAGTCTGCGAAGCCTTTATATTGACCGACAAGTTCCCCTATATAACATAAAAGTTTAGATGTGATTTATATTAAGCTGGGTTCCAAAGTTTCATATAAGGGCAAGCCTCTATAGTTAATTACATCCTAAACAATCGTATTCGTTTTAAGAAAACTCTCGATTTAGATCAGAAGGTATTGTCTTCAATATTTCAAAGTTTAGGGTTTTCAAGGTTGAACAAAGGAATATAAAGTGGGAAAGATAAAAAAGGAGCAGTTATTTTTGGAATCCAAAGAAAGAAAACTAAGAGATGTCACAAATCCTGAGACAAGACTTAGACTCCCCAAGCTATCAAAGGTTTGACTTCAATTTCGAGAAAATATTATTATATGTTTTATCATACCAAATTTTATTATTTTGCATGACATGATCAAACAAGTAGTCTGGAAGATATGAGGGTTTATGTCATAATGAACAACAACCTTAGAGCCTAAGGCGAGTTAGGACTTATATTGCATAACATGGTTGTGCAAATGCTGATAAGTTGAAGATTTATGTTATACTAGACGAGCTGCCTCGAGGTTCTATGACTTGTTGTTTAATTCTAAGAAAAAATGTTGTTGCAGATATGTCTGCTCTCTCGAAGTTGTTCTTCTGTACATTCATTGTAATGCTACCCATGTTGTTAGCTCCAAGCTTATCGTCAAAGTAACAGCTCCAGGGAAGAACTTATAGTTTTGCAGTTTAAATGTCAAGTTTTGTTGTTATTGTTGTTCAAGTGTCCTTAGGGGAGATTTTAATGTAATTAGAGTAACATCGATTAGAATCCTACGACTTCATCATTCTGACACTACAATTTTCTCTTGAATTTACTTAGTCTAAATGAGTTGTTAAACTTGTCTAAATCGGAGAACTCTCGCTAGCAGCCGTAGGTTACCTCATCCTCGAAATCCTCATAAACCCAAAAGGAGTGTATTATGTTTGTTCATTGTTTTGAAAGTGTATATTTAATTTTGAAAGCGTGTTTTTGTATTTTTTCAGTTTTGGTTTAGTTTTGCATGTAAAGTAAATAAATGCAAGTTGAAAATATTGTAAGGTAAATAAATAAAATTGTAATGCATAAAATGTAAATGTGTACTGGGGCCTCTGCTACCGCTGCATGGTTAGTTTCATAAAGCATAATAAATTTGCAGGAAATTTAAATAAACTATCGGAAAATAAATAAGAACATCTAGTATGGAAAAAGTCTGAAAGCCAGTCATAGAAAAACACGAGCAAGTAAAAGAAAACCCATTCACATATGAAAGATAGAAACCAAGTCTAAGAAATTGATAAAGGTGGGGTCTCAGAGCTGGTCTGTGTGCTTCCCAACCTTGAGTGAGAGCTACCAACTCGATAATCTATGGAGGGCGATCATAACCTCGATCCAAGTGATTAACCGTGAACCTTTATAAATTTTCATTTTCTAATTTAATTTTCATGCATGTAGAATTTACTTTAACAGGTAAAAGAAATTTCATTTTTACAAATACTTTGCAAAGTAGTGTAGTCCACAAGTTAATTACTTTGATGCTAGGACTACATACAACCTAAGTGTATCGGAGGCAACAATCTCATCAAGAGTCGATGAATAATATCCTTGGTCCTATCCTCTCCCCTTATTAAAGGTCATTGAGGTATGAGATATTATTTTAAATCCCACTTTGTATATCTCGTTTAGCACATGATGCGCCCTAGTGTGTGTTGTGTTTCTGTGTGATTTAAGTCAATTTAAATCCCTGATAACAGTGCAAAAAACCTAACCCGTTCTAAAATTACGCAGTAATTTTAAAATGTTATAAGATTTAGAAAATAGTTCACACGCTAGTGGTTCTACGCAAGTGTATGTATTGCTTTAAGTAACATATGATTTTCTTTAAAAACCCAAGTATCAATCCCACAGAGAAGCAAGGTATGAAATCCCTTAGGCTAATTCTAGTCTGCTACTATCAGTCATTTATATGGAAGGTTGATTTAAGTGGTTTTTTCTTACAAGTACTTCTAAAGGTAAGTTTTAAGTTTAAAACAACATACAACTACTCCTAAGTGAAAATATTAATTTTAAAGATAACCCTTCTTGATGAATTGGTTTGGAGAATTTTGATATGTTAAAAATCACTATTCATATGTAGTGAATTAGATAATGTATATGAATGAGATACATTAAATATTGTATGTGCCAAATATGAGTAATCATATTCTTTAGCTTCTGAGAGTGCATAAAGAACATTAACTAATCAGATTTTGGTCCCTAAATCTGTGGTTAGGTAGAGAGG